CCAGGAGGTGACAATTCTCACTTTTTACTTCCTTTTCTGTTTGTTTTTTCTCCACCTCACTTAATAGCTGCGAAATTCTATTTTTAGTTGATTAAATTTATTTTTGTGGTATCGTGGGTTGAACCCAGAGGTATTTGACTACGGAGCTACATCCTTAACCTTTTTTATTTATTTATTTATTTTTTTGACATAGGGTCTTGCTAAATTGCCTGTGCTGGCTGTGAACTTGTGATTCTCCTGCCTCAGCTTCCTGAGTAGCTGGGATTATAGGCAAGTGCCATGGTACCTGACCAAATGATATAGTTTGTATAATGTACATTGACTATGTCCCCTACAAGAATGCATGGCCCATAAGGACAGAGACTGTTGTCTGCTTTGTTGGGGATTATGTCCCTCTGGACACAGAGGGCACAGAACAGAGCTAGCTCACAGTATGCAGCCTAGAAATATGTGCCGAAGAAAGAATGTTGAAGTTCTGGCTTCTTTTGTATCTTGGGGGCTCACAGCGTCTGAACCACTTTGGCTGCCTTTTCTCCTCTGCCTTCCTCTGTTTTGTCTTCTCTTTAGTTTCCAGAGCCAAGGAGTAGAGGGAGGCAGGACCTGGGAACCGGCCTTGTGCCTAGGAGACCTCTCAGGCTTTTTCCTGTGACCTGGGAGCCCCGTTCTCCTACTTCCTAACCTCTGAGCCCCCAGGGCGCAACCCTTCAGGAACTTTCCTTCCTAGGGGGCCCCAGGAAGCCAGCCTTCCCTTTGAAGAACTGAGGAGAGGGAAGCAAGCCTCAGAACCCAGGCCTGGCAAGAAATCAGTGGGAGAAGGGAAGCTGAGATTCCCCCAGCGATGCCTTCTGTGTTCCTTGGCCCTGCCTCCCAGGATGCTTCTCAAGGCCCAAAGCAAAAAAAAAAAGCCTGAAGCTGCTCCCCTTCTGCCTCCGGCCCCTCATGGCCCATGGTGGAGAGGGCAGCCAGCCAGAGTCTGGGGGCCATCAGCCTGGACATGCCCTGTTAGGCTACTGCATACACAGTCACAACCAGAACCATCACAAGCACAGACTCTCAGAGACGGAGGTGGATGGACTGCATGGAGCATTGCCCTGCCATTCTCCAACACAGACAGACCTTATGGCAGGGATGGGAGCCTCAAACAGACCACACCTGCATCCGGGCAACGTGCTGGAGAAAACTACCCAGCCTGCCCAGTTAGTTTCACCTAGGTGCAGCTCTAGGTTTTTAAGGACCTGAAGATTCTACAATTTAAAAAAGTACAAAAAGTATTATTTAGAGGAAAACAAGGACACAATAATTTATAAATTTAAAGGATTAGTGGTCCATGCCTGTCATCCCAGCACTCTGAGAGGCTGAGACAAGAGAATCACAAATTGAGCCCAGCCTGGGGCATTTAGTGAGAGTCTATCAAAAAAAGAAAAGGGTTGTAGGGCAGGCATGGGGATGCATACTTGTAATTCCAGCACTCAGGAGGCTGTGGCAGGAGGATCATTACAAGTTTAAGACCAAGCATCCTGGCCTACAAAGTGAGCTCAAGGCCAGCCTGAGCTGCATAGAGACCCTCTCTCCAAAAGCCAAAAATAAAACAAATAAAAATAGAATTAAAAGGGTTGGGGAGATAGCTCAGTGGTAGAATATTCCTGGGTTTAATTTCTAATACTAAACACAAGATGATAACAATCATTTTTAAAGATGGGTGCTGGGCATGGAGGCTCACACCTGTAATCCCAGCACTTGGGAGGCAGAAGTAGGAGAACTGTTGAGAGTTTAAAACCAGCCTGGGTTACAAAGTGTGCTTATGGCCAGCCTGAACTTCGTAGACACTCTGTCTCAAAAAAA